AATACATGGAGGTTAAATAACATGCTACGAAACAATGAATGGGTCAACCAGTAAATAAAAGAAGAAATTAAAAAGTACGTGGAAACACAGGAAAATAAAACACAATGACTCAAAACATCTGGGATGCAGCAAAAATGCTTCTAAGAAGGAAGTTTACAGCAATACAGGCGTACCTCAAGAAGCAAGAAAAAAAATCTCAAATAACCAACCTAACCCTATACCTAAAGAAGCTAGGAAAAGACCAAAACAAAGAAAACCTAAAACCAGCAGACGTAAACAAATAATAAAGATTAAAGCAGAAATAGATGAAGTAGAAACTAAAAAAAAACAACAGAACAGATCAATGAAACCAGGAGCTGTTTCATGGAAAAAAATCAATAAAATGAATAAACCTCTACCCAGACATATAAAGAAAAAAAGAAAAAGGACCCAAATAAATAAAATCACAAATGAGAGAAAACAACAAACACCCGAGAAATACAATTATAAGAGAATATTATGAAATGCTACATACTAAGAAATTGGACAACCAAGAAGAAATGGATAAATTGTTAGAAACATATTACCTACATAACCAACCAAAACTGAAACAGGAAGAAATAAAAATTTGAACAGACCAATTACCAGCAATGAAATTGAATCAGTAATCATTAAACTCCCAACAAACACAAGTCCAGACCAGATAGCCTCACGGCAAATTCTACCAAACATACATACATACATGTATTTATTTATTTAATTCATTGCCATGAGAACATAAACATTTATTTTTAGAATTATTTCATTTAAATTTTAGTTAGTTAACATACAGTGCAATATTGGTTTCAGGAGTATAATTCAGCGATTCATCACTTACATACAACACCCAGTGCTTCTTACAAGTGCCCTCCTTAATACCCATCACCCATCTAGCCCATCCCCTACCCACCTCTCTCCATCACCCCTCAGTTTGTTCTCTATCATTAAAAGTCCCTTATAGTTTGTTTCTCTCTCTCCTTTTTTTCTTCTTCCCCTTCCCGTATGTTCATCTGTTTCCTTTCTTAAATTCTACATATGAGTGAGATCAAATGGTATTTGTCTTTCTCTGATTTATTTTACTTAGGATAACACACTCTAACTCCATCCACATTGTTTCAAATGGCAAGATTTCAATTTTTGATGGCAGAGTAATATTCCAGTGTGTGTGTGTGTGTCTGTGTGTGTGTGTGTGTACACACACACACTACCTCTTTATCCATTCATCTGTCAATGGACATCTGGGCTCTCTGCACTGTTTGGCTATTGTTGATAATGCTGCTATAAACATTGGGGTACATGTACCCCTTTGAATCTGTATGTTGGTATCCTTTGGGGGAATACCTAGTAGTGCAATTGCTGGATCATAGAGTAGTTCTATTTTTAACTTCTGAGGAACCTCCATACTGTTCTCCAGAGGGGCTGCACCAGTTCACATTCCCACTTTCTCTGCATCCTCACCAACACCTGTTGTTTCTTGTGTTGTTCATTTGAGCCATTCTGACAAGTATGAGGTGATATCTCATCGTGGTTTTGATTTGTATTTCCCTGATGATGAGTGATGTTGAGCATCTTTTCATGTCTATTAGACATCTGGATGTCTTCTTTGAAAAAGTGCCTCTTCATGTCTTCTGTTCATTTCTTAACTGGATTATTTGGTTTTTGGGTGTTGAGTTTGAAAAGTTCTTTACGATTTTGGATACTAACCCTTTATCAGATAGGTCATTTACAAATATCTTCTCCCAGTCCATAGGTTGCCTTTTAGTTTTGTTGATTGTTTCCTTCACTGTGCAGAAGCTTTTTATATTGATGCAGTCCCAATAGTTTATTTTTGCTACTCTGGAGAAGAGTGTGGAGGTTCCTTAAAAAGTTAAAAATAGGGGGGTGGGAGGATGGGTTAGCCTGGTGATGGGTATTAAAGAGGACATGGTCTGCTCCTACACAAACAATGAATCATGGAACACTGCATCAAAAACTAATGATGTAATGTATGGTGATTAACATAACAATAAAAATTTTTTTTAAAGTTAAAAATAGAACTACCCTATAATCCAGCAATGGCACTACTGAGTATTTACCCAAAGAATACAAAAACCCTAATTCAAAGGGATACATACACCCCAAAGTTTATAGCAGCATTATTTAAAATAGCCAAATTATGGAAGCAGCCCAACTGTCCACTGATCAACAAATGGATAAAGAAAATGTGGTATAGGGGGCGCCTGGGTGGCTCAGTCCTTAAGCGTCTGCGTTCGGCTCAGGTCATGATCCCAGGCTCCTGGGATCGAGCCCCGCATCAGACTCCCTGCTCAGCAGAGAGCCTGCTTCTCCCTCTCCCTCTGCCTGCCGCTCTGCCTACTTGTGCTATCTCTCTGTCAAATAAATAAATTTAAAAAAATCTTAAAAAAAAAAAAAAAAGAAAATGTGGTATATACATACAATGGAATATTATTCAGCCATAAAAAAGAATGAAATCTCGGGGCGCTGGGTTGTTCAGTCGTTAAGCGTCTGCCTTCGGCTCAGGTCATGATCCCAGGGTCCCAGGATCGAGTCCCACATCAGGCTACCTACTCGGCAGGAAGCCTGCTTCTCCCTCTCCCACTCCCCCTGCTTGTGTTCCTGCTCTCGCTATCTCTCTCTCTGTCAAATAAATAAAATCTTTAAAAAAAAAAAAGAATGAAATCTCGCCATTTACAACTACGTGAATGGAGCTAGAGAGTATAATGCTAAGTGAAATCAGTCAGAGAAAGACAAATACCATATGATTTCACTCATATGTGTAACTTAAACAAAGCAAAGGAGCAAAGGGAAAAAAAAGGAGAAACACACAGAAACCAAGAAACAAACTCTTAACTATAGAGAACAAACTAGTGGTCACCTCAGAGGGGCGGTGGGCAGAGGGATGGGTGAAATATGTGATGGGGGATTACAGAGTATCTTTGTCATGATGAGTAGCAAGTGATTAACATAAAAACTTTTTTAAAAATATAAAAATATTTTTTTAAAAGATTACAGCATGGTAAAAGCATGGATTTGGAGTCAGGCCATACAAACATTTATAAATTTTGACAAATGCCCTAACATGCCCTAAATGAAAAATAAGGAAGCTCTGCTTTAATGAAATAAGCAATCTCAAAAATGTATATATTTGACAGAGATTTAATTTAGTGCAACCATCCTGGAAGGCAATTTACCAAAAACCTAAATAAATAAATAAATTATATATATATATATATACACACACATATATATATAAAGTATGTGTATATATATATACACATAGACAATTTGACACAGAAATACACTTATGAATTGAATTTATTCAGTATCTTCTAGGAAAATAATGGGTTAAGTATGCAAGGATGAATGTCCAAGAATATTTTCTAAAGTAATGTGTCTAATAGCAAAATACTGCAAAAACCCCAAATGTATAACAGCATAGCACTGACTGGTAAAATTATTATGCTATAACCACCCCTTGGAATACCATGCAAACATTAAATGAACATTATAAAGAATGAGCAATCACATTTACTTAGACATTCATGATGGATTGTTACTTGAAAAGTGCAGATTACAAAATAGTAGGAGTAGAATTACCTCATTTATATAAAAAGTAATTTTAATCACACAATTAAGAGAAAATACCCTTGAATAATATACTAGAAAATGTTGATTACTTGTAGAAGTAGAAAATAGAGGCTTTTTACATTTTGAGTAAAAAAAGTTAATAGTAAATCTACACAAAACATAGACAATTGATAGCTGATTATATAAGTCCATGCATGCATGGACTTGAAGCTATCTACATATCTAATCTCAATTCTATAAGCACACATTTCAAGTTTTGACCTTTGAAAATTAACACTTCTTCAAAATTGTAACTTAGACTTTTTTAGGATTTCAAAGGCACTGAGGACACCTGTGTCATCCCAACACAACCACTGCTGCTCCTATACTGGTAAACAATTCATGTTTAGTTTGCCTTGCAACTGTAAGTAAATTACAATTCAGTGAATGTGTAGTGCTGTGCCAGGATTTGATTTTGAGTTACTGCCTCCCCCCACTCAAAAAACTAAAAGACTTCTATAATAAACTCTCTGAAGTTCATTTAAAAAAATTTTTTTTAAAAACATCTAACAAAATGTCACTTCTTTAATAGCTTTAGAAAGGAGTGATTATCAGTGTGGGCCCCAGGAAGTGAAGGGAAAACATCAAATAGATTTATTCTGACATTTAGACAAGTCTGCATTTTCTCTCCTACCAAGCATCTCCACCAAAATATCACAGGGAAAGAGGAACCTTAATACACAGTAACATAAGAGAACAACTTTAACAATTATTTAAATTATCTAAGAATTCATAATAATTTAGTAATTTAATACTGAACTAATTACAAACTTCATATTAAAGACATTTAGATTTTATTCATTTAGATTAGAGCTATAAATGGGCTATGGTATGCTAAATCATCTATAAGGAACACTAAAAACATTGAAAAATTAATAAAATTTGATTACTGGTCCAAAAAAAGAAAAAATTTCTTGAAATAACTCAGAGAGAGAAAAACAAATATTGTATGATCTCACTTACATTTGGAATCTAAAAGAAAATGGAATTCATAGAAACAGATTAGATTAGTGGTTGCTAGGGAGAGTGAGTGAAGGTGATCAAAGTATACAAACTTCCCAAGTATAAATGAATAAATTCCGGTGATCTAATGTATAACAAGGTAACTATACTTAACAATACTACACTGTATACTTGTAAATAGATAAAAGAGTAAATCTTAAAAGTTCTGATCACACACAAAAAAAGTAACCACATGAGGTGATGGATATGTTAACTCACCTTATTGTGATGATCATTTCACAATATGTATGTGTATCAAATCATCACATTATACACCTTAAATTTACACAATGTTATACATTAGTTATATCTCAATAAAGCTAGAAAAAAGGGAAAAGATAAAAAGTACTTACCACTAAGTCCCAATTATTTTGTTCAAGCAGTGTAATAGCTTCATCAATGTTTTCAATGCCAGTACATGCCTGGAAGCAAAGTGAAAATTTTAGATACAAGTTTGGGAATGGGGAGGTGAATCTTAAAAATATAAAAAGCATAATGTGTTATTTCAGTTTTAGAAAGGTATATGAATAAAGCCACTAAATGCCTAACACTTCTGAGCAATTTACAAATATGGTTTGAAAATTGTTAATTACAAAATAAATTTACATTGCACTGAAACAAAAGACAATAAATTAAAGCAATAAAAGAAAGTATGTTTAAATGTTGAGCTTTGGAGCCCAGAATGATCTCGAGATTTCTAATTGCCCAGAACTTTTATTAAAAAGTTTCTGATGGGGCTCCACACAGGGCATGGAGCCTACTTTTAAAAAAAACGTTTCTGACAGACAACCATATAAAACAAACTGCAATCCATACCTTATACCTTATACTTTATACAAAATTTAACTTAAAATAAGGAACAGATTTATTTTTATTTATTTATTTATTTTAGATCAGGATTTCTTTTTATTCCTTGTTGGTTTAAAATGGCTAATCAGAATAAAAAATAAGAGGGCCTCTGTCTAGAGGCTGGGGTCTCCCCTTTTTAGAGGTTAGAACCCAGGTACCCCCACTACCCAGCACCATACTGAGGCAGGCTGAGGGGTAACCCCCAAGGGACAATCGGAGGGGCCTAGGCCTGCCACTCCTTCTCTGTATCCCGTTTTCGGCATGTGATAAAAAATATTTTTTTTAAGATTTTATTTATTCATTTATTAGAGAGCGAGCGAGAGAGAAACAGCATGAGAGAGGAGAGGGTTAGAGGGAGAAGCAGCCTCCCCGCTGAGCCGGGAGCCCAATGTGGGACTCGATCCCAGGACCCTGGGATCATGACCTGAGCCGAAGGCAGTCGCTTAACCAACTGAGCCACCCAGGCGCCCCATGTGATGAAAAATATTGCTTTTTGGATTCGTCTCTCCCAGCCTTGGATTTAAAAATAATGTTAACCGTATGAGTTGGAGGAAGGCTCTGAGGGGACTAAAGAAGCCCACACTAATCCCTCTCCCCTAAGAAGGGGGGGCATTATCCAATATTGTTTCTGGAGCTCAGTCAAGCTCTTTTCCTGATCTCCCCACCACCACCAAAGTCATGGGGCTGTGACTCCTTTCCTGGGGAAACTAAGTGCCAGTGAACCTAGAAAACTAACTCTCCTCTCCAAATCCTTCCTTCCTCTGACCAAGACCCCCAGACTCGCCTCTCCCAAGGTTTCTTTCCTGATCACTATGCACCAACAACAGGGGGGTGCGGTTTCCTTAGTTGGTAACTGGGACAAAAGAGAGGGAACCACTGGGAAAAGGAAGACTTCGATGGATGTCTCCGTGTCTTTCCTGCTGGTCTGAGGAACGAAAGAGTAAGATACCCCTCCTCCTACATACCCCTCCCTCATTTTCCCATCCCAGGATAGATATATAATTTCTTTGATATTTATAATATATATATATAGATATATATATATGTACACACACACCTGGTAATGCAGAGGAAAAAAACAGAATCCATAACAATAATAAAAATAATTATTTCTGGTTTAAAAATGATCTGGTTCCCTCCAGGGCGAGCAATTGCACAAATGTCCACTGAGTCTGGTCCAGGGGTTAAAGAAGGGAAGGTCTTAAAAGGTGAAGGGGGTTGCTACCCCAGTCTCAGGGCCCCAACTCTCTGACTCCCCATCCCCACTGCATTTTATAAAACGCTCCTCATCCTCTTGGAATCGGTGGTTTAAAAAAATGTCCATGCAGGGGAGGGGAATCCCTTGAGGAAAGGAAGGTGGCCACCTGGGGCCCTTTGGTGTAGGCGCAGAGGCATGGGGGGAAGGGAGGTGCCGAAGGCTCACACGGAAATCTCATAGGTGGTACCACCCACCCCTGACACCTTCTTGACTCCACCCCTTGTGGGGCTGCTGAGGGGCGGCTGGCCTGGGCCAGGGGAGGCAGAGCCTATACTCTTGGGCTGCCCATTGGATTTGCTGTAGGCGGTCTTGAGCTGTACTTCATCTTTGGGTGTCCATAACGGCTGCAAGGCTACTTCCTCTGCCTCAGAGACACCAGCTGGGGTGACACCGGCTTTTTGGCTGCTGTAAGACACAGATCGGCCCAGGTATGGGGCGACTGGGCCTGGTTCAGGGGACCCTAGTCCCCGGCCCCTTAGCCCATCTGGCTTGCCAAAACGGGGGGCAGCTGGGCGTCCCAGTGGAGTCTTGACCAAGGGTGATCTCTTTGAATCATCTGAGGAGGAACTAGTGCGAGGGGCATGGCCTGAGCCCGGCGTTGACTGAATGCCTGAGTCCCCCAAGCCTGGTTCTTCTCGCGGCCTGGGAGTGGGGGTGACTGGCGTAGCAGCTTCTCTCATTCCTGGAGGGAGGCCACAATATGGCACGACAGATTGTCGTACCAGACCGGGGAGGGCTCTCGGTGTGTTGGGCCGGTTGGCACCAAACGTGGGTGCCTCTTGGCTTCCCGCTGCTGGGCCAGCCGGGCTGACAGGAAGGGAGAGGTGTAGCCTAAAGGTGGGTCTGGCTCAGGCCCTGCCTGCACGGACTTGAAATTGGGGCTGTCCGAAGGAGTGAGCAAGCTGTCGTAAGACAGGCTTCCGTTGCGTGTCTGGTTGGCCAGGCTCTTATAGGAGGTGGAGGTTGTGCCCTCTGAACAAATGGACTGCAACTGGCCCAGCTCAAAGCCAGTGTCCTGGGCTGACTTGAGGCTGGAGGAGCGTGAGCCGCTGGATAGTGGCTCGAAGTGAAAGCTTTTGCCAAAGGTGGGAGAACAGAAGCTCTCTGGCTCTAAGCTGGGCTCCACGCGGTAGCTGGGATGGCAGCTGCTCTCTGCAACTGAGGTCGGCTCCTTCAAGCTGTCCCCACGACTCAACTTGGCACTGGAGGAATGAGGCATGGTGGCTGACGTACTGCTGCTACTGTAGCCCGACTGGTACTTGTACATGGTAGGTGTGCGAGGGCTGTCCTTGCCCAGGAGGCTGCCATCCTCATTAGTAGCCAGGCTGAGGTGTGTTAGTAGCCCCGTGTAATGGCTCAAGTCCGGCTTAGGAGGAGGTGGGGGTTCAGCATCTGTAGACTGGCTCTCTGTGATCTCCAAGCTTCCCTTAGACTTGCTTCTCCTCAGCTCTCCCTGGATGCCATTGTCCATGATCTTCAGTTATCTGCCCATCTGACACTTCTGGTTGAAGGAAGGGAGGTCTGATGACAATCGTCTTCTCTTTCTTTGGTCTCCCCAAATACCTGGGTGCTGGGAACTGCAGAGCACACGGCTGACATTGTTACAGCAGCCATTGGTGAAGTGGTTCACACCTCCTTGGAATTTACCTGTAACCTGTTCATTGGTTGTGCGTCCCCTAGCCACCAGCACCACATGAAATCCCGTGAGGCCAGCTACGGGGATGAAGAATAAGCCAGCCACACACATCACTGCCATTGCGACAGCCGTGCGGACCCCTGAGAGTTCCTCCATGTGGTAGAGGACAGAGAGGAGGCCAAAGCCAAACACACCCATCATGTGTGCTGTCAGGGAGAGGAGGAAAAGGAAGAAATAGCAGTAGTTCCGGCAACAGATACAGTTGTTCACCCAGGGGCAGTGATGGTCAAACTCCTCCACACAATTGTCACAGACACTGCAGTGGGAACATCGAGGAGGACGGTAGAAACGGCAGGTGGCATACCACTTCATGCGCACCTGGATGCCCTTAATCTCCACTGTTTTGTAAAGGGGAGCTCGGAAGTCATCTTCCTTGTCTTCATTCTCCTCAGCTCGAAGGAAAATCCCTGGGTCCCTGAAGGTGGCCATGCTGAAGTCGGCCAGCACAAAGAGAAAAACCACCGCATTGCAGATGGGCACTGCAGGTGACACATAGAGGCTTAGTCCTGGACAGGTAAAGGCAAAGAAAAGGGTCATAGCTCCCACTAAGCAGATGGTGGCTGCTGAGACCAGAACATACTTGCTGGGCTTGAAACTCTTTCCATACTCTGCGGGCATGTTGGAGCTCTGATGGGAGGTCTGCCCTGCCGCATAGCCCAGGCCCACACAGTGGCAGAACAGACAAGAAAATGAGATGAGGTGAACAACGGAGAAAAAGAGTACAGAAGGAAACCGGGGAAACAGAAATTTAAAATTATCACCCTTCCCCCTCCCAAAGAAAACCAAAGGTCAAAAGATCTCAAATGAAGGAAAACACATGGGAGGGGGAAAGGTGATTCCAAATGATGAATAACCACTCCCCAGAACAAGGCAAGAGGGAGAGATTAAGAAACACAACTTGTACAGTTTAAAAACTGGAGACAAACAGTAGGCTGTACAGATGCAAATGGTTGCAGGTGGAGAACATGGGCCGTCAGACAGGTCAGGGAATAGCTCATGGATGGAGGCAAGTCTTCAAAAGGCAAGCAGGGAGAATATCAGGGTAGGGGAGACCACTTCGGGCAAGGAAAAATTCTTCTGAGGAGACACTCTAGCACCTCCACGACTACCACACTCCACCAAATGTGAGCTGCACCTAAAAGAGGTGTGCCCTGTGTTTCTATTTTAATCCAAAAGGGAATCTGAGGCCCCTGCCAGTTTTAAAGAGAAGATTTTTTACTGCACTCCTTGTCCCTTTTAGGCAGTTTTCTCAATGCCACCACTCCCACACCTTGACTTCAGGGCTTGTAGTCTGGCAATGGTGGTTTAATTTTATTTATTTTCTTTTGATGGCTAAAGGTGGGCCGCAGCTGTTAGAAGGTTGAGTTGTAAATCCTTTTCTTCCAAGGGGGAGGGAAAACAGAGAGAGAGAGCACGAGCAAGCTTGTGTCTTCAATCTCTTCTTGTTATTCCCAAGCCCTTTAAGGGCTCCGTTTCCTATCGAGTTCATGCAAACTAAAGGGAAACGTAAAATCCCTGAATCCATGTTCTTCCCAATTAACAAAATAAGATGAAGAAATCAATTCCACTCAATGATAGTTCTAAAACGGTACTATGGATGAAAGCAAAGTTCCAAAGAGGTCCCTGTTTCCAGGTTAGTCAATGTCTCTGATCTTCTTCAGTCTTGGGCTTTCTAGATGCAGAATTAAACGGGGTTACAGTGCCTCACCCCTGGCGCGGTTCCCGTCACCGCCGCCGTCGTTGTCGCCGCCGCCTCCCGGCAGTGCCGTCCGGCCTCTCAGAGGCCACGCGCGGCCCCGGCACGCTCCACACCCGCCCCCGCCCGGAGACGCTCGTCTTCGAGCCGGCGCGCAGCCATTGCCCTCAGCGCCCGGTCTCGAGCCCCTAAATAACAGATTTAAAGTAAAACCTAAAACTCTAAGACTTGCAGATCTGTGCTGTCTGCTATGGTAACCACTAGACGTACATGGCTAGTGAGCCCTTGAGATGCGCCTCAACTGACTTAATATGTGCTGTGTTAAATACACATGAGAGCAGGACTTAGTACAAAAATAAAAATGTAAATAAATACTTATTAATTTTTCATGGCATCTGGCTGGCTCAATCAGTAGAGCGTGCAATGCTTGATTTCAGGGTTATAAGTTCAAGCCCCACGATGGATATAGAGATTACTTAAAAATAAAATCTTTAAATATAGTAATAATAATTTTCTATTCAATGTGTATTGAGATGACCATTTTGAAAATGTTGGCTTAATTAAAACATAACGTTTAAATTAATTCCACCTGCTTTTTACTTTTTTAACATGAATACTAAGAACGTTTTAATTATTTATGACTTTCGTTCTATTTTTAGTACTGAAAACATAGGAAGAAATCTTCATGAGCTTTAGATACAACAGCAAAAGCAAAACCCAAAAACTCGATAAAATGGACTTCTTTAAAATTAAGAACTGTTCTTTGAAAGACACTGTTAAGAGAATGAAAAGGCAAGCCAGACTGGGAGAAAATAACTGCAAAACACATCTAACAAAGGACTAATAACCACAATATAAGAAGAATTCTCAAAACTCTATTAAAATAAATAATAAATAGCTAAAGATTTCAACAGAAAATTCCCTAAAGAAGATATACAAATATACATGAAAAAATGCTCAACAGCATTAGTCAATAGGGCTCAGTCATTAAGCATCTGCCTTCAGCTCAGGTCACGATCCCAGGGTACTGGGATCGAGCCCCGCATCAGGCTCCCCGCTCTGCGGGAAGCCTGCTTCTCCTTCTCCCACTTCCCCTGCTTGTGTTCCTCCTCTAGCTATCTCTCTCTCTGTCAAATAATAAATAAAATCTTAAAAAAAAAAGAAAAATATAAAACAAACACAGATTCCCCTTCCATACATTAGAGTGCTAAAATCCAAAACACTAACAATATCAAGTGATGGTAAGGATGCAGAAAAATCAGAACTCTCATACATTGACAATATGTGTGATGTACACAGGTATCTCAAAATTATGTGGCCACTTTACAAAACAGGTTAGCAATTTTTTTTTAAAGATTTTATTTATTTATTTGAGAGAGAGAGAATGAGAGACAGAGCACGAGAGGGAAGGGAGCAGAGGGAGAAGCAGACCCCCTGCTGAGCAGGGAGCCCGATGCGGGACTCAATCCCGGGACTCCAGGATCATGACCTGAGCCGAAGGCAGTTGCTTAACCAACTGAGCCACCCAGGTTAGCAATTTCTAAGAAAGTTATAACACAGTAATCCCACTTCCTAGGTATTTACTTATCCAAAAGAAATTAAAACTACGTTCACATGAAATTATAAAATTAAAGTTTACAACAGCATTATTCATAATCACTGAAAACAGAAGACACCCCAAATGTCCTTCAACTATACATTCATATAACAGAAAACTACTCAGCAACAAAAATGAACAAATTATTGATTTGAACTCAAAACGATGTGGAGAAATCCTCAAATGCATTATGCTAAGTGAAAGCCAGGCTCAAAAGGATACATACTGTATAATTCCACTTACATGACATTTTAGAAAAGACAAAATTATAAAAACAGAAAACATATTTATTATTACCAGAGGCTTGGGGTAGGAGTAAGGGTTGATAACAAGCATTAAGAGGGAAATCTGGGGAGTAAGGGGAACAAAATTTGATTCCTGGATACCATAAAAATGCAACAAAGCAAACAAGACATTAAAAAATGCAATCCTTATTTTAAACTGAATGAAAAAACAGGAACAACCCAAAGGTTCTAAAATACTCATAAAAGCAGCTAAGAAGAGTTAAGATAGGGCAGAAGCTGCACAGGAGGAACAGGAGAGAAAAACTATAGGGGGTAACTGTGAGCCTAACAACAACAAATATCAGAAAGCACCAGCAAAATACACTTCCTCGATGACATCACCCTTTTTTCCCCTCAGAAAAACATGTAGGAGGTAGTTCCAAGAGCCTATCCCCTCCATAGAAACACCTAAAAATGGAGCAAAAACTGTCAGAATCAAATTTCTCAGAACTCTGGAAATTAGTCAAAGGTTTACATCAATCAAACAAATGCTGAAACATGAAAAGGTACTTCAAAACAGTGTGAAAGCTTTGCGATGTTTTTATTTCCCTTTCCCCACTCCTGGCTCTGTGGCAGTCTTGAATATACTAGCCCACATTCCAACAGTTGAACCCTGGTCCCTGGTTCTAGAGGGAGCAGAGCAGACTCTGTTCTCAAAGAATTTTTGTCTGCTGTGACCTGTACAGGGCTACCTGAAGGACTGACTCAAGGCTCTCTCCTTTATTTTATCAACTTGAAAATCTCTTAGTACAGAAAAGCAGCTATGCAGAGGGCATTCTTCAGGAAAAAAAAAATTTTTTTTTCAAGATTTTATTTATTTGACAGAGAGAGACACAGCGAGAGAGGGAACACAAGCAGGGGGAGTAGGAGAGGGAGAAGCAGACTTCCTGCTGAGCAGGGAGCCCGATACGGGGCTCGATCCCAGGACCCTGGGATCATGACCTGAGCCTAAGGCAGGCGCTTAACGACTGAGCCACCCAGGCGCCCCTCTTCAGAGAAATTCTTAAGGCAAATGAAAACCTCACTGCCACCTGGGACAAAATATTCCAGTTGAGGCAAACAACAAGACATGCCAAAAACCTGAAAGAAAAAATGGCAAGAGAGTTTCTTTGGGAAATTAGGACATTAAAAAACACTGGGAATTTAGAAAGCCATGCATATGTGCAAGGCAAGAAACCTACTCAGAGAAGACCTGAGAAAACTATTGGCTCATCTCTAGGCTCAGCACAAACAGGAAGTAAAGACAGATGTGTAAACAGCCTAAGTGTTAGAGCGCTCCAACACAGAGCCAGTCTGCAAAGACTAAGAAAGGATTTTCTTCCTTCTCTTTTTTTCTCTTTTGTTTCTTTTTATTTTCTTTTTTTACTTCAGATATTCAAGGATATCTCTCTCATACTACTAGCAGACCACAGCTAAAGAAGAAAAGATTTCAGAGACCATTATGTACCAAATGTCTGTGCCCCACCCCCATATACACACCAAAACTCATATGTTGAGCCCCTAATCTCCACTGTGATGGAACTGAGAGATGGGGGGGGGGCCTTTGGGAGATAATCAGGTTTAAATGAGGTCATGAAGGTAGGGCCCTCATAATGGGATTAATGCCCCCTTATAATGGGATTAGTGCCTCTTAGAAGAAGAGACACCAGTGGGTGTTTCCTTTCTCTCTGTCTCTGTGTCTCTGTCTCTCTTTCTCCCTGCCATGTGAGAGCCAAGGGAGAAGGTGGCCATCTGCAAGTCAGGAAGAGAGTTCTCCCCAGAAACCAGTCATGCTGGCAACATGATCTCAGACTTTCAGCCTTCAGAATTATGAGAAAATAAATCTGTTCTATGATATGTTGTCACGGTAGCCCAAGCAGACTAAGACAGAGTCAGCTCATCACCAAAATAATTACAAAAATAGTTTAGAAAAGTCCGTAAACAGGCAACAACCCACAGAAAGCAACAAAAAAACAAACTATAAGGTGGAGGAGGAAGAATCTGATTTCCAGAGTTATTACATTATAATATTTAAAATAATCACTTTTTAAAAAGGAAATAGTGATGTATGCTAAGAAATAAGAAAGTATGACTCATTCAAAGGAGAAACAGACAGAAACTGCAGAAGAAGAGACATTAGACTTACTGGGCAAAGACTTTCAATCATCATCTTAAATATTCTCAGAGTTCAAAGAATCCATGAACAAAGAGCTAATGGGAACCAGAAAGACAATGTGTCAACAAATAGAGACTATCAATAAAGAGATACAAATTACTTCAAAAGGAACCAAAGAAAAAAATTCTGGGGCTGAAAAGTACAATAACTGAAATGAAAAACTAACTACAGGGTTTCAATAGCAACTCTGAGAAAGCAGAAGAAAGATCAGAGAACTTGAAGGTAGATCAAATGCAATTATCTAGTCTGGGGAGCACAAAGAAAAATGAAAGAAGAAAAATGAACATAAAGAAGGAGAGATGGAGCTGTACAGGGAACAGTTTTTATATACTACAGAAGCTAAGCTGGTATTATTTCAAAATAGATTGTTATAAATTGGACAGGCTATTTATAACCCCTAGAGTAACCACTAAGAAAATAACTAAAAAATATACAGAAATAGATGAGAGAGGAATCAAAACTACAATACAAAAAAGTCAACTAAACAAAAAGGAGACATAGTAAAGAATTGAGAAAATTGAGGAAAAAAGAATGATAGGCCAAAAACAAATAACAAAATAGCAGAACTAAAGGCATTCTTATCAGTAATTATTTTAGGTGTAAATGGATTAAACTCTCCAATAAGAAGGCAGAGATTAGCAGAATGGATAAAAAGAAATGATCCAACTATATGCTGTCTACAAAAGACTCACCTCAGATCCAAAGATACAAAGAGGTGAAAAGTGAAAGAATGGAAAAATACATGTGCAATTAATAACCAAAAGAAAGGTTGGCTGGCTATCCTAATATCAGATAAAGTAGAGTTTAACTAAAAAAATTTTATAAGAGAATAAAAAGGACATTATATACTGATAAACAATTCATCAAGAAGATATAAAAATAAGAAATATATACATACCTAATAACAGAGCCTCCAGAATAAATGAAAAAATTGACAGAATTGAAAGGAGAAATAGACAGTTTTACAACAACAGCTGGATATATCAATGTCCTACCTTCAATAAACATCAATAAAGAAATAGAGAACTTGAGAAATAGTATAAACTGAATAGATAAAATATTTATAGAACACTCTACCCGAAAAAAAACATAAATACATATTTTTCGCAAGTGTGGATGGAACATTCTCTAAGATAGAACATATGAAAACAAGTTTCAATGAATTTTAAAAGACTGAAATCATACAAAATATATTATGACCAAAAGGGAACTTATACCTGTAAATATCTTCTTAAAAAGAAGATTTAAGGGGCACCTGGGTGGCTCAGTCAGTTGAGTGTCCAACGCTTTGTTTCAGTTCAGGTCATGATCTTAGGGCCATGGAATCGATCTACACATGTGGCTCTGAACTCAGTGCAGAGTCTGCTTGTCTCGCTCCCTCTGGTTCCTCACCCCACTTGCACACTTTCTCTCTCTCAAATAAATAAAATCTTAAATAAAAAAAGATTTAAAATCAATATTCTAACTTTATACCTTAAGGAACAGAAAAAAAAAAACTAAAAGCAAG